TATATATATATATATATATATATATATATATATATATATATATATACGCACATATACATGCATATGAAATATGCGAAGTGAAAGAGTTAAATTCATATGACAAATCAGTTGAATTAATGCCAATTATTAATATTGGAAAATGTGCTATCTACTCGTTGTGGAGCGTAAGAAATGGTTCTTTGCAAAAATTATGATCCATATCTCTGTATCCTGTATCTAAAGCTGAATGCAACTACCTAGATTACGTTATAGGATGACTGGTTACTTATTAGAAAACCTCTGATGCGATTAGAAAACATACAATGTGACAAAATGTTCGCAACAAGGCACTCGAGAAAATCGGTTTAACAAGCGGTTTTACTTCTTGCCATGTGCACACCGTATATCCTACTGATATCTAATTAATATTAAGATGAAATCGCTAATATTAAGTTTTCGTTGTCGAAAGTATTCCCCTAAAATATACGACGCATAAAAGTCGCCGCAATAAAGAATGAAAGGTGAATTTCTGGTGAAAAGAACAAACACATCGGTTTTAAAAAATAACCCGCAACAAAGAGAGAGTTTTTATTATAATAATATTAATAATAATAATAATTAATATTATATATATATGCTTATATCAATAATAAAATCATTGCGATAGACATTTTTAATTCGCCTGCTAAGACCTGTCGAGTAAAGAGGAAAGAAGAAAGGGAGACGGAATGTGTCAAATATCGGAACTGAGATGCGACGAAGGGGAAAGTCACGGCTTTCGAAGTCACGGCCCCGCGCTCGCCCCTTCCTCGCTCGACACGCTAAAAAAAGAAACCTTAAACGAAGACTAAAAAGAGAGACGAAGATGTTGGCGATATAGTATAAACACATGTACTTAAATATTAAGTGAGATAAGAATTCGGTAACAAGAGTCTTGGAATGATGAGGTCGATCAGCTCCGCGATGACGGAAGGCCGTCGGGTCGGACCGGCGCTCACGATGTAGGTCATGAGGTCAAGAGCTATGGATAGAGATGCAACGAGTATACCCTGCATCGTCTCGCAGGCAGGTAAATACGCAAGCGCGTTCGCAAATACTGATATCAAAAATACTGACGCGCGTTCCACGGCCGGACGTGCGTCGACTCTCGACGTTACTTTCGTTCTCTTTCTTAGTATTTCTCTTTCTCTCGATATAAATATGTGCGTGTGTTCGTGTGTTTATATATGTCTCTTGAAACTACCACCACTCTTCTCCCATCTACAGATTGCCCGATTAACTCCCCCGCTGATTAATCGGCAGGAAGTTTCTCTCGATGGAAACTAGCTCAGTCGAAGAGATGGGATTCTTGACAAACTCTTCCTCTCCCCTCAGCTTATCGTTTACAATCGCAAATCTCTCGACGGTATCTTGAGCAGAACTTCGATTCTAAAGTACATCGAAGACTCGGCACATGAAGAGAATGGCGATAACTCCATGTGACAGCTTACAGATATGTAATACATACATACATACATACATACATACATACATACGTACATACATACGTATATATATCGTGTGTACATACATACGATTTCATAGAGACTTTTCAAGAGAGAAATGTAAACTGGTAGAAGTGTTCGTCTAACTTTTATTGAATGATGTTGCAGCGCTTCGAGCAATCATTGCTGATTCAACATTCCGTCACGTGATCTTATTTTATGAGAATTACTTCAAAATAATTTTCTCATAAAATATATAAATTTCTTTCTAAAAAATATATGAATTTCTCCTCACAATTTGTACTGTCGAACTGTTACTTTCGTTACCGTCATAACCGATTACTGCACGTCGACGTGCACATTAGCAGTGGCTCTCAATTCTAACAAGTCGAAGCACTGCAACTTCTTCCAATAAAAAAGTATGCAAAGCTATGTTGCGATCAAGTATACATCGTATTTCATATCAAGAGAGCTCCCTTTATATTCGGTATGTTCTTAAAATAGTTTATTTACAGTTCTCAAAAAGCTATAATTTACTAACTTTATATATATATATATATATATATAT